TATATACTAGAGGGGCTGCTTAGCAACCAAGGACAAGGCGCGAGAGCGAGGCAGTGAAGATGACAAAGAGAGAATAAAGGGCGAGAAAGAAAAGGCAAGGGCATGGCGATCACGGGAACGTAGCATGCGGCTGTGGGAACGTATCTACAGTGTCCAAATTGGGATGGGCTAGAAAAGGAAATGGTCTGCGAATGGAAGGTGGGCGTCAAAGGGAGGGGAATGGGCGGCAAAAAGGGGTGTCTGTCCAATGTCCGTGACAATCACCTCGCTTGGCAGTTGTTCCTTGTCACAGACATTGGGCGGCAAGACATTATCATTGGCATGGCATTTCTACGTGAACATAACCCTGAACTCGATTGGAATGCAGGGAACGTTGAGTTTACATGCTGCCCCTCAACATGCACCCGGCACACAGTGCAGGATGAAGAACTACAGAGTTTGCAACTTCCCCGAGTGGAAGATGTTGCGCAAGATCAGTACGGCGACCTCGGCCCTGAATCCTGGGAAAGCACCGATCAGTTTATTCATTGGGTGAACTTCTCAGATGACCCGAGTGCACGTCAGATGCGAGCCAGGTTAGAAGAGAAAAAGGATACCAACCCTGCAGCCAAAGGCGAACAGGATCGCAAATACTGGTCAAACCATGTACCTGAGCAGTACCGGCAGTATGGCGACGTCTTTTCCAAGAAAGCCTCAGAAAGAATGCCAACACGGAAGCCATACGATCATGCAATCGAACTAGTCCCTGGAGCTTCACTCCCCAAGCCGGCCAAATTGTACCCGCTCAACCTCGATGAACGGAACTCGCTTGAAGCTTGGATCACAGAGCAAGAAGACAAAGGCTACATCCGCACATCCAAGAGTCCTACCGCTGCCCCAGTCTTCTTAGTTCGTAAGAAAGATGGAAGTTTACGTTTGGTCCAGGACTATCGCGCACTGAACGCGGTCACGAAGAAGGACAAGTTTCCGATCCCCCAGATCTCAGACCTTGTGGACAGACTCTCTCACGCATCAATCTTCACCTCACTTGACCTAAGGTGGGGTTACAACAATGTCCGTATTTGTGAAGGGGATGAAGAGAAAGCCGCGTTTATCACACACAAGGGGCTGTACGAACCAACGGCCATGACCTTCGGCCTATGCAATGCACCCAGCTCGTTTCAAGCAATGATGAATGAGGTTCTGAAGGAGGAAATTGCGACTGGACACACTGTAGTTTACATCGACGACATCCTTATCTTCACAGATGACCCTACTCTACATCGCCAACTGGTAGAACGGGTCCTGAAGAAGCTGCGCGACAATGACCTCTTCGTTAAGCCTGAAAAGTGCAAGTTTGAGCAGCCCTCGGTTCACTTCCTCGGACTAGTCGTGTCAAAGGATTCAATCTCCATGGATGAGTCTAAGGTGCAAGGTGTTAAGGAATGGCCTACTCCGACCAAAGTCAAACACGTTCAAGCCTTCCTCAGATTAGCCAATTTCTATCGGTGTTTCATCAAGGACTTTGCCAAGATTGCACGACCACTCACTAAGCTCACGTGTAAGGACATCCAGTGGCAATGGGGAGAAGAACAGGAGCAGGCCTTTGAAGGACTCAAAACCGCTTTTACGACAGCTCCAATCCTTCAGATCCCGAACGACACAGCCCCGTACAGGCTAGAAACAGACTCATCCGACTTCGCGACAGGGGCAGTTTTGGAACAACTTGGAGAGGACAAGCTATGGCACCTGGTCGCCTTCTACTCCAAGTCTCTCAATGTTCACGAGCGCAACTATGAGAACTATGACAAAGAGCTTCTAGCCATCATCCGAGCCTTGGAGGAATATCAACACTACCTGGAAGGACACCCGGAACCGATTGAGATCTGGTCAGACTATCTCAATCTCACCTACTTCCGGCAAGCACAGAAGCTCACACGCCGACAAGCCTGATGGAGTTTATTCATGTCTCGCTTCAACTTCGTTCTGAAGCACCGCCCTGGGAAAACAATGCTACGAGCCGACCCTCTGTCCAGGAGGCCAGATCATGAAGAGGGGGTAAGCAGTGATAACTTCGGACAGACACTGCTGAAACCTGAGTTTTTCGCAATCAAAGCTATGCAACCTGGTCACACCTCCATTGTCAACGACAAGGAACTGCTCGAACGCATCAAGAAGGCCCTTGAAGATGACAAAATGATGAAGCACTACAAGGAATTGCTAGCTAGTGGACCCCGGGAGTTTGGAAAATACCTGCAAGATTGGAACATGGAGAACGGTTTACTGTTACGACGCGGCAAAGTCTATGTGCCCAAGGACCAGAGCATCCGCCTCGACTTGCTCAAACTACATCACGACACGTTATTAGCAGGACACCCAGGAAGGTGGAAGACCTTGGAGATCATTGCACAGAACTATTGGTGGCCCGGCATGTCAATCGACGTCAAGAAATACGTACAAGCATGCGACACTTACCAACGGAACAAGTCAGTCAGGAAACCACCGTATGGATTACTGCAGCCAAACGAGATCCCCGCTGGACCATGGGAAATCTGGTCAATCAATATCATCTCTCAGCTTCCGCCTTCGGTTGATAGACATGGCAACACCTTCACCGCGATAGTAGTAGTAGTGGACCGTCTCTCAAAACGGTCCCACTTCTTCGCAGCTGACGACCACTTCTCGGCAACAGAAGCAGCCGAGCTCATCTACGAACACATCCTGAAACACCATGGCCTACCGCGGCAGATCATCTCTGACCGAGGCACACAGTTTGCGAGTGCAGCGTTTAAGGAGTTTTGCAAATTGCTAGGAATTCGATCGTCAATGTCCACGGCTTATCACCCACAAACAGACGGACAGACTGAACGAGTCAACCAGTCGCTCGAGCAGTACCTTCGGATCTTCACAGAACACCGACCAGACGATTGGGCATCCCTTCTGTCCACCGCGGAGTTTGCGTACAACAATGCCCCACACGAGTCAACTGGCCTGTCGCCCTTCTTCATCGAGTACGGATACAACCCAAAGATGGCCCCCGACATTCATGAAGAACTTGCCTTCCCTTCCCTCGAAGACGTATTCCACAATCGTGCAGAAGCAAGGGAACAAGCGCAAGCGTCACTCACCATGGCTGCCGAATGGATGAAGTGGTATTACGACCAAGGCCGTGTGGACCCTCCCTTTAAGGTTGGCAACAAGGTTTTGCTCAAAGGACGTGACCTCAAAATCCGCAACTCGTCGGCCAAGCTCTCGGCCAAGAACTATGGGCGGTATGAGATAACGGAGAAGATTGGACCCGTCGACTTCAGAGTCAAACTTCCGCCGTAGAACAAGGTCCATCCTGTCTTCCATGCTTCGAAGCTTATCCCCTACCATAAAGACGAGATCGGCAACCACAATCTGGAGAAGCCTGACCCCATCGAAGTTGAAGGTCACGACGAGTTTGAGGTCGAAAAGATCTTAGACTCTCGCGTCAACTATGGATATTGTCACAGCCAACGAGCTGTGCCACCAGATAAACAAAGACAAGCTTACTGGTGATGGGGCTGGTGCTGAGGGGCGAAGCAACTCCAAGTGACACAGCAAGAGATGATGCAACGAAGTAGATTCCCTAGACTAGAAGGGGCAGTGAGAGGTAGGGCTGCTAGCTACCTACAGAGGAGATGGGGGATCGACGAGAAGATCAAGTCTGAGGTTCCCTGCCTCAGACTCCCTACTATTTATACAAATGCAATGGTGCACAGACCAGGTACCTATTTGTCCCTGCTTGGTCAGAGTCTGCTGACTCATGTCCTGCCTCCTGACCTGTCACATGATGTCCTCATGACTGACTGATACCTGAGTCATGCTAAGTCCGGGCTCCCTCCGATGAGTAAGCGCCCCTGCT